ATCGTGAAATCGAGCAGGCGCATGCAAGCTTCCACCGGAGAAATGTACCGGGCGCTCAAGAAACGTAGAATCTCATTTGGTTCTCGACGCGCACTCTGCTGCCCTCCTCGGACTTCTTCCACAGTGAGTATAGCCATGTCGGGTCCTTTGTACACATACTTGTACAGGTATTTAACCGCAGTAATATCCGTGCACACTTCCACATTGATGTGGCAGTTGTACTTCTGGGATAAGTACGGGTTGTACGGTACAACTCACTAGTTGATCGTAGCATTGTCGTATTCTCTGTCTTTGAACTTTAGAACACCTTCTTGCCGTCGACGTCGTTTGTACACTGGATATCCATTGGCATTGGCTTGTGTAACTTCTGCTAAGGGCTTCGGATATCCTTTGGTGCACTTGCCGTCCTTCATACACGCGCAGGAAGGGGTTGCAGGCCCGCATGGACCATGGAGCATGCATGACATGACCGTCTCATACAGCTGAGGGTTTGTATCCTTATCTGGGATCTCAGCGCATACCATTTTGTCTACGATCTCGCGGGTTCGAGGTTTGTCTTCGTCAGCCAAAATAACCAGTACGTGAGCGTGGAGGAGGCCTCGTTTTTGAAACTCGACAACGTAAATCCGCGCGCGCACTCGTCCCAGAACGCCTTGGTTTAAATCGTCAAGCGTCGCTTGCAGTTTCTGCTGCCACACGCGAGCCACGATGTCTGGTCGATCTTGAGCTGTCTGGATATCGGAAGGTATCGCTTCAAGAATCTCGTCCCACTTAGGGTTGCACGTTTCAGTCAGGAAGACGTCGGGCCGTCCATACTCCCGAACAATTGCCATCGAATCTTGATACGACTTGTACATGGACCGCGGGCTACCCAGGTGCGAAGCCGGTAGTATGATACGCTTGCCAGCCTGATTAAGAAAGTGGGTTGGTCGGCCTCTGCTGCCTCCGTCCCGGTCCGGGTGCACCAATCTGTTCTGGGCCCTGTCATATTCCGACAGCAGCACTTCTCCTTCCGCCAGAGCCAAAGTATCCTCATTGAGCAAAGCGTCTTGAAAACCCCTGTATTGATCGGCGCGAAGTGTTTCGGCCACCCAGCGAAGCTGTTCTTGCTCACATTTTGCACGCTGATCTACACACCACTGTTGAAATAGACGCCCACCTCGGTGGAGAGCGGACTGATCATCCACTTTCTGATGAAGGCGGAACGCGACGTGTTCACGAAGCAACATCGCCTTCTTATTCCGATACTCAGCACCATTCGCGAACTCGTCTGTGTAGGTCCAGCCCTTTTCTCCATATGGAAGGAGAAGCGGGTATTGGAGTGGATCGTAATCGGCGTGAGTCTCATACAAACGTAGCAGCCTTTGATCGCGTGTAAAGAGCAGTAGATCCCGGGGCTGAGCCAGGTTGCCATCCTCAATGAGGGTCGCAGCCACTTCAGACACAGTGGGGCGGTTATGCGTCCTCGGTCGCGAGGAGTTATCATGCAGACGGAAGACCAAATCTACTGGAGTCTCCGTGTTGTGTTGACGCACTTGCTGCCCAAAGTGGAGGAACCGTTGCGCTAATGGGTTGTGCTCTGCCATCATTTTCTCGATGTCTAGTAGTGCAACACGATCCAGATCCGCGAATATACCAAGACGTCGCTCCGCGCGGCGTTGCATGTCTGGATCCACAATGTAGATCTGCGCAAACTTGGGTGCTACCCGTGCGCCTGTCCGACGGTCTATGTGGGGGAGGAGGGACCCTAGGTAGTGCCCCATAGCCCCTTGAATGCGATATGTGTACACCCCGTGTGTACCCGCAACGCTCTCGTCTTGATGCACATTTTGAAACGATCGGTTTGAGCACGAAGCACCAATCGACGTAAACGCGAAGGCTTGATTGTAGGCACGAATTTGACGGCGGAACTCTGGATCTAGGTACAACTGAAGCAACTTCCGTGGCGCGGGGTGCAGTGGAGGTAGTTTTACCCTCCCTGCCAGACAGCATGATATTGCCGACTCGCCTGGCCACTTCCAAGCATTGCATATCGGACAAACGTTTGTGGCCGGGAGCTTGTGGCGACCGTTCACCACGTCGTTACCCGTTATCATGGACGCGTCAAAATCTTCAAGGGGTATTAGCGCGTGTCCATGACGGGTGCATTGGCGTCTAGTGCGCACCCGCTCGAGCTCCTGCTGGCGCTCTTCTTCTGTCTGGCGGGATCGTCGATCCGCATGTCGTTGCCGGTCTAGCTCACGTTCGGCTTCCCGTTCATGTTCAGACTGCTCCGCTCTGTGTTCTGCGTGCTACTCCCTGTTAGTAGCCCGAAGCGCGGAAATATCATTTTCATCCACCAACTGTCGATTCTCAGCGAGAGCCAGAGTATTGATCTCTCGCTCGCAGTCACGATCGTGCTGGCTCAACCCAGCACGTCTTTCTTGTAGTCGGGTTCTCTCTTGCTCGCGTCGTTCGTTAAGTTCCTGACCGCGCAATTGGGCTCTACGGGCGCGTTTGCGTTCAGCGTCTTTCTTCCAAGTACGATCACGCTGAGAAAGCGTCATATTGGCTCTTCTGGTACGGGCCCTCTCAGCATCCCCGGCACGGCGGCGGTCTATGTGGGAACGTGTATCGCTGTTTCCGCGAGCGCGCTGCCCAAGCGAGACAGGGGGTCGCTCTTGAGCAGTAGCTTGTAGTACGACAGGCACTGCCAGTGAAGCCACCTCGGTGGCACCCGCTATATACGCTGCCTCCATCTGGGCCGCAAACTGGTGCTGATGTACCGCAGGATCGGACTCTTCCGTCTTCTCCTCCTGCTCTTCAACACGATCAGCCGGAACTTCCGTGACTTCTGTCTCGTCTTGTTGAACGCTGAGAGCATTCAGCTCTTTGTTCAAGTCATAGCGCTTCTTCCTTCGTTTGGTTTGACGCCGTTTCCGGGGATCACTTATTCCTCCTTGGATTGAAGGAGCCGTAATGGAGTTAGTTTCTTATGACAGAGCCCACCAACACAGCCTAACGGAGACAATATTACAGTGAGTTTAAAAGGACAGAGTTCGTGCGAGAGACATGTAGGGGACGCGCGATTGGAAGTGGGCGAGACAAGACAGTAGTAGGGAGAAAAAGTGTATAGAGCAACATAGAGAAGGGAGGGAGAGACAGGCGAGAGAGCAGTCCTGGATGGAAGACGTGCCAGCA